TGAGGGTCTCAGCCTCTAGGTGTGAGAACAACTCAGCTTCTAAATGGGGGCTGGGGGCTAAGGTGACCAGGTGACCAGGTGATGCCCGTGAGGACTAGAGGGCATGAGACAGTCTCAGCCTTTTGGGCGTGAAGAAAACTTGGCATCCGAATGGGGGCTAGAGTGAATAGGCCATGTGACACCCGTGAGAAGGAGTGGGCATGAGGGTCTCAGCCTCTAGGCGTGAGAACAGCTCAGTGTTTGAATGGGGGCAAAGGTGAATCTTAAGTACAGAAAGACTGTGGGAGGGATCTAGGACTGACCAAGTAGTGTGGAGTGATGGGAAGCAGGGCCTAGGGAGATTTGTATGGGAGTGGCTAGTAAGCTGGGGTGAACAGAACTCCTGGGTCCTGGACCACGTGGTGCCTAGCTAGGATTAAGGGTGGGAAATGGCCAGGGGCCACAGGAAAGTAAAACAATGGAAGGGAGATTGGGTGTAGCCACAATGTAAGGCCAGTTGAAGGGGCAGGTGGTTGAGAAAAAGGGTTCAGGTGAGAGTTCCATTTGGAAGGTCTGAGAGATTTGAACAGACAATTAGAATAGATAATGAAGGGAACTGGAAGGTAGAAATTTGCTTTCAAAGGGAGATAAAGAGAGCTTTCAAAGGGAAATAAGGCAGTTTCTAAAACTTTAAGGTTTTCCTGGGATGGTAGACAAACTGAAGCCAGGTTCTTTCTAGGGCCAGGGGCAAAGGTGCATTTGAATAAGATTAAAAGGCTAGGCTGAGGCTTTGGAAGGGAGGTAAGGGTGATCTCACAAAAGGGCTTAACAATAAAACTATTAGTGGCAAAGGTCTCAGCTTCTGAAACTGAATGAAACCCTCTTCACGGCATGGCCCAGGTGCAGACAATGAAAGGAGTTAAGTGGTCATGATGGGGTATGGGCCCAAGCTGCCCCTTACCCCAAAAAGAATTTGGGTCCCATTTGTTTAAAAGATAGTCCTTGAATTCTCCCACTTGATCAAGGAAGTCTCTAGTGTTCCCCTGATGCTATAGTCTCATCAATTGGCTTTTTGTTATCACCCATGCCCAATCTCCCAATTCTGTTACCCTTAACCTAGCCTACCCTTCCATTGTCTTACCTCCTCATGGCCCCTAGCTACTTCCCACCCTTGACCCTATCTAGACCCCATTCTCAACCTCCCAGTCACTCCCATCAAGATCCTTCCTAGATGTTTCCCACAGTCTTTCTGTATATAAGGTCCATCTTGTCTCCATTAAGTTGTTCAGATTCCTTAAGAGCCTAGCCAATAGCTTACAAATGTTCAGATTCCTTAAAAGTCTGGCCAATATGGTGATCCTTAATAAATCTTGTCTCTGGCTGAAAGAAGGCTTAGGTCAATTCATATGGACAGGACCTGAGTGTCATGATTTTGGGGTCCCAGTACCCCTAAACTTCTAGACCTCATCAATCAGACAGCCATAGTGAAAGGGCAGTTAAAAGGATTGTTGAGAGTATCTAGGTAGAAATGAGTGGGAAAGTTCAGGGGCAAAGACATGGTCTTTTCCTTCTAGGGGTCCAGGTCCCATTCCCTCTCACTTCCTCTCTCACTGGTTCAATTCACGGTATCCATGCTATGGGCCAACTGTGATCTTTCCCTTCTGGACACAATAAAAAGGTGAAAAGAGACCTCCAGTTTTAAAGGCACATAGCCAATCAAAGGCTGCCAACCCTGCAGACCCCATCAGTTAATCTGGGGCATGATCTAAATGCCATCAAGGGCGCCTCCATGTTAGGCAAACTGGACATACCAGACAAGCCTGGGTCACATGTGCTTAAGGGAAATTGATTTGGCAGCTATGTGGAATACAGACTGAAGTGGGGAGAAACTTGAGGCAGGGAAAGTATTTAAGATCACTTGATCCTTCCATCCTTGGTAACCATCATTGATCTTTTTTGCCCTGTGTGGCTAAACTCTTTGAGAAGGTAGTTTACAAATGATGCCTCCATTTTCTCTCCTCTCACTCTTCTCCAACCTCATCATTCCACCAAAACTCTTTTCTCCAAAGTTACTAAATAATCTCTTAATTGCTGTAAGTAAGGTGAATTTTAGTGGGTGTAAAATGGATTTTTTGTTATTCTTTCTTAGAGTTTTATTCCCAGGATTCATAGCCATAACAATCTCTACTTCCCAGGTGTTAGATATGAGTTCTCACAATCATGGTTCAAAACAGTTTCTACTAGGCTTGCGCAGTAGATATAGGGATGAAGTGATGTAAAATTGTGAGGCTATTGATGGCAATATGCCTTCTTTGTCTGTTGTCCTATGAAGCAAGTGGGCACTGGTTAGTGACTGGGGACCTCCATAGGGGTAAATATGCAGGCTGAATCCTGTGCATGCCTTGATCGGCCCCCATAAAGACTTTGGAGCAGGAATCTGTGTGCTCGTCTCAACCGGCCTCCATTGAGGTTTGAGGGGATTTAGGGGACATCATAAGTTGTGCTGGTCTTGACTGACCCCATGGAGACAAGGGGTAGTTGCCCCCCCCTTCATGCTGGCCCCTGTGAGAAGGGGTTAGGGAATGCTGTAGGAGTTGTTGCTCCCATTTTCAGCAAACTCCCTTTGACAATACTAGACTAGGATAAAGTAAGCTTATTTAACCCCTTATTATGACTCCATTCCTGTCTTCCTGTCTGACAGGATCAAAGCGAACCTGCTACTGAGATAGGTGCTAGAAGCCCTCCTGTGTCTCTTTCCTAAGAAATAGCATAGTCAATGTGTTTGTTTAATAATTGCCAAATCCAGTGGCCTTTTCTCAGTTCTTCTTGACCTCTCTGTAACTTTTAACATTATTGATCACCCTCTTCTTTTCTAGGTTTTTGGAATACTCCTCTTTCCTGGTTCTCCACCTATCAGTCCACTGCTCATTTTCTTTGCTGTCTCCTTATTCAAGTCATTCTTATTAATTCTTAGGCCCTTTTCTGTTTTCCTTCTATACTACTTAATTTGGTGATTTCATCAGCTCCCATGGATTTAATGATCCATTATGCTAATGATTCTTAAATCTATATATCCTGCCCTAACTTCTGGGCTGACCTCCAACCTTCCATCTCCATCTTGAACTGGATATCCGAATTCATTATTCCCCCCCCTTCACTTTCCCTATTAGTAATAAATGGCACAACTACCCTCCCAGTCCATCAGGTTCAGAGCTAAGATATAATCCTCAATTCCTCTCTCTCAAACCCTCCCCCCCATATCCAAACTGTTGCCAAAGCCTATCAATTTAACCTTTCTAATATGTCTGGAATATGTCTTCTTATGTCTGCTACTTCTACCACCTTGGTGCAGGCCCTTATCTCCTCACATTTACACCATTGAAATATCCTGTTAATTGGTTTTTCTGCCATAAGTCTCTCCCTAGTCCAGTTCATCTTCTATTCAGCTGCCAAAGTGTTTTCCCTAAACTATAGGTCCCACCATGTCATTCTCCTACAAAAACTCCAAGGACTCCCTGTCACCAAATAGAAAATCCTGTTTGCCTGGTTCAATATAACCTATATATATCTATAACCTAGCTGCTCCTGCTCCCTGACCCCCTCCCTGCCTTGCAGTTTTCTTACTCCTTATTTCTTTGCCTCCTGACACTGGCCTCATTACTCCTCGCACAAGACATTATCTCTACCACTCTAGGCAAGCTCTCTGGCAGTCCCCTATAGCCTGAATGCTCTCCCTTCTAATCTTTGCCCCTAGGCTTCCTTCAAATCCCAATTAAAATTTCATCTTCTACAAGAAATTTTTCTTAACTCCCTTTAATTCTTGAGCTTTCCATCCTTTAATTCTTTCCTATTGACTGGGTATACATCTTGTTTTTATATATTTGTTTGCCTGTTGTCTCTCCTACTGAAGACTAGTACCTCTAGTGTGAGGGCTGCTGAACCCTTTACAGGGCTGCTTTCCACCTTTGGTGTCCACCTGATCCACCTAACTTTCATCTGTGGCTCTAAAAAGCCATAAGATGTACACCTGTGTGCAGCCACACCCTTGGTAAACTGTTTGGGCAGACAGGATAAACTAGGTACAGGGTAACCAAGGGGTCTCAAACCCTTGGGTGAGTTGGGGCACTTCCTCTAGTGGAATGGGTGGATGAGAACAATTTGTTCCAAAGGTCATGAATGGGAGCAACAACTCCTACAGCATTCTCTAAGTGGGGCACTTAGAGCTTAGTTAGACACTGAAGATGCCAAGGTCATCCACTGCATCTGGAGCCATCACCAGTTGTCCTGACTCTGTCTTGCCACTGGACTGTGATGACTCTGGAAGAGAGAATGAGGCCAGCAACTTTATGCAACTACACTTCACTTAAATCCAATTTATGCAAGAATCAAAAGACATCACCTATACCATTAAAAAAAAAAAAAAGACATCTGCCACTAAATTGTAAGGTCCTTGAGAGCAGAGACTGTCTAAACTCTTTTTGTAACCCCAGAGCTTAGGACAGTGGCTGACACATTGTAAGTGCTTTATTCAAGTCAAAGACACAATTAATTTGGCATTTAAAGTGGATTGGTAATTGCTGAGAGAGCAATTTCTTTCCAGTGATGAGGTAAAGCTTTTGAGAGCTAGATTCTAAACTAAGGGGCAGAGCCCTCCACGTGCTCCTCCTCCTGGCTGGGCTCCCCATTTCACTACGTCCAGGCAAACATCCGTCCCACGCGGGGCTCCTAGCTTCCCTGGACATCTCGCCAGGAGGTCCGGAGGAAGATGAGTCGGCTTCTACGTCTAGCTAAGGCACCCAGGGGTGAGCTGGCAGTCTAGATTAGCTATGACAAGAGATTCCCAGCACGCTGCAGGGGACTGGGAGGATCCTTCCTTTCCCTCCCGCTCTCCCGCCGGCCAGGGCGAGGGAAAACCCCGACCAATGGGCAACCTCGGCGCCTCCGCCGGGGCGGAGCTTGCCTACGCGGCCCCACTACTGCGCACTGCGCATGCTCTGTATTCCTGCGCCGGTTCCGTTTAGTGAACCGGAAGTCAGGAAGTCCTGCAGTAGGAAATTAAAAATGGCTGCAGAGGGAACGAGGTCTGTGCTGTTCGTGTGTCTGGGTAAGAAAGTACTGCCTCTCCATCCCCTCCTCTTCCCGCTCCATCTTTGGGTTCTGCTGGATGATGAGGAAGGTGGCTCTGAGATCTCCGTGTCCTGGACTTAGAGAGGGATACCGCGGCACCGCCATTCCACCCTCCTCTCTCTGCCCCGAGGGGCTTTCTCTCCCTCCTCCTTCATCCCCCACTTGTCCCGACTCCTTGCCCTTCTCATTTATCCTCATTCCTTCCCTCTTCTAGCTGCTGAAGGTTACCTTGGTCATATTAATTACAGCCGGCATCTGAATGGTGTTTTTTAGGCTGCAACTTGGCTTCCATTGCTTGACTTAGATCCTCAAAATGAACTATCAGCAGGCAGGCAAGGTACTCGTCCCATTTTACAGATGAGGAAACAGAGGCCCAGAGATAATTCAACGACCCAACACAGATCTGACTATGCCACCACTCTGCTGGAAAAATCTTCAGTTTCTCTATTGCCCAAGGGTGAAAATAAATTGTCAGCATGGCATCTAAAACCCTCCATCATCCTATATACCTGTTCTGCCTTATTTCTTATTATTCCTCTCTCTTATTCCTCACTCTCCTTCCTTCCCTCCCTTCTTTTTCCACCTTCCTACTCTCTCCCGTTTGCTCCCTCTCTCAGGCAAACTAGCTTACTTTTGCCAGTTTAAGACATTCCAACTGCTATCCTCACACGTATTTTCACAGGTGATAGACAATTTCTGTAATAAACTGCCTCTTCATCTCCATTTTAGAAACCACACCTTCCTTCAAAGAACAGCTCCTACATAGGCCTTTCCTTATTTCGGTAGTTAGCCTGCTTTCTTTCTTGATTGTACTCATATTTTGTATTTACTTTTTTCAGTACTTATATGTATCCTTTCCCTTCTCCATGTAAGTTTTTGAGGGTAAAGATTTTTTTTCTTTGTATTCCTATCAACTACAACAATTATAGGTCATTACCTGGCAGTTGTCACTTCATAAATTTTTGATGAGGTACCCAAAATCAGAGTCTGTGCCTAAAGTAGAATTGCAACCTGGGTCAGCCTGATTTCAAGTCCATTATTTTTATCCCCATAGGAAAAGAGAAAGCTTCCCTATTACTATGGCAAAATATTTCATTTTCTCTCTTTTTGTTTTGCCTTACACTGTGGTTATTGCTAAATAATAACCCTTGTCTCTTATGTCGGAGTGCTTTGGGCCTTAAAAAATTCAGAGGTCTCTTTAGGGCCTCTCTTAAAGTAGAGCCAGTGGGTGGTAGGTAAAATGTTATCAAGTTGTTGCTATTGTAAAGATTAAGGCTTCTGATTAAATCGTTTAGTTCACCTAAGTGTATTACTTTGGTACTTTCAGCAAGTACTTTACCCTGGCAAGAATATTACATGTTCTTCTGTTTGTGTAAGATAAATGCTTGGTTAAGATAAATGTCAATCTAAAGAAAGGCAGCTGTTACTTATATTCTCCAAAACTACAGAGATATCTTTGCTCTGGGATTCTTCCCTCTTTCTTTTTTTTTGTTTTTTTTTTTAAGGCAGTTAGAGTTAAGTGACTTGCCCCCTGGTCACACAGCTAGTAAGTGTCAAGTGTTTGGTCTGAGGCTGGATTTGAACTCAGTTCCTCCTGACTTTAGGGCCGGTGCTCTATTCACTGCACCACCTAGCTGCCCCTTTCCCAGTTTCTTATTGAAGTACAGAGGTGAATTTATGCATTAAACCATCTCAGGAAAATGTTGAGAGTATTGATATTTCAGAGCATTTTGAAATACATAAAATGAGTTTCTGAAGAATATAGTGCTTCATAATATGTTTCCTTCATGTGAGCCTTGTGAGGTAGGTTGTACAAATAATAAACCCATCTTAAGGATAAGGACATTAAAGCTTCAAAGAAGTCAATCAAGTTGGTCAGATTCACATATTTACTCTTTAGTGGAGCCAAGACTTGAACCTGTTTATACTACACTGTATTACTTTTACAGTCTGCAAAAATTCATCAAACATTTATACATAATACACACCTATATACATATGACAGTATATATGAAAGAGGATGAAGGTAATCAAAGATGGGAAGGCACTGGCTCACTAGCAAGTGGGAGGACCAGAAAAGGCCTCCTACAGAAAGTGTTCCTATGGGTTGAAGTGAAACAGACCAATCAGAGGTGAGGAGAAAGCATTCCATTCATGGAGGCCAGCCAATGCAGTGGCACAGAGATGGGGTTATGAGAGTGTGGCTGAAATCATAGATTATAATTCTCTTTACCATGGAAGGGAGTAAAGTGTCACAGGATTGGAAAGGTAAAAGGATCAAGTTGTGAAGCACTAAGTAGAAGATATATTTGATCCTGGGGGTAATAAAGAGTCACTGGTGTTATTGAATGTGTTTGTGGTGGAGGATGACGAGGTGATATGACCTTTAGGAAAATCTCTTTAGCAGCTCATGGGAGGATGGTTTGAAATAGGAAGAGACTTGAGGCAAGGAAACCAATTTGAAAGCTCTTAAAATAGGCCAGGCTAGAGGTCATGATAGCCTGAGAAGTAGGGTAGTGACTGTAAGAACAGAGAGAGAGAGATGATGTCAAGGTGGAAAGAAGACTATTTAGCAACAGATTAGATATGTAGGGTGAATGAAAGTAAAAAGTGACATTATCTTCAAGAGAATATCAAGAAAGAAAGAAACAAAAAAGATTTGGCTATGTGAGGGTGAGTGAAGAGTTAGACAGGATGACACCAAGATTGTAGGTGTGGATGACTAGAAAGATAGTGTTGCCCTGGACAGTGTTAGGTAACTTTGGAAGAGAGAAGGATTTTTGGGGACAGATAGTGAGGTTTTTTTTGACCATGTTGAGTTCACAGTGCCTATGGAGATATATGAGATATAAAAAAGTGCAGTTGATAATTCAGGATAGTAGCTCAGTAGAGAGACTTGGGCTCAATATATAGATTTGGGCATCATTTCTTTCGGGATGATAATTAAACCCAATGGGAGCTGATAATGATCACCAAATTAGGTAGCATAAAGGGAAAAGAGAGTAGGGCTTAGGACAGAGTTCTGGGGAGCCAAGAGGTTCAGAGAAGTTAATTCACTTGGTAAAGGTCATCAATACTCTAGAGCAGAACCAGGTCTTGAACCAGGTCCTTTCAGCTGACAATTCTTTCTACACTGTTCACCTGTTTGTTTAGGAAGTCTTTGGAGATAGTACCCTGGTGAAAGCTAAAGTATTATATATTGTTAATTGTATTAAATTTTTTAAAAACTCAATTTTGGATGAAAAGTTTTCAAACCAGGGCATTGATCTTTTACATAGTATAATTACACTTCTACAATGGAAGGTTCTTTAGTGCAGGGATCCTTAACTTTTTTTGGGGTCATTAACCCTTTTACAGTCTATTGAAGCCTATGAACTTCTCAGACATGCATGCACAGACATAAAGTTTTTCGTGGACTCCCAAGTTAAGAACTCTGCTTTACAGTTTTTTTGTGTCTAAACACATCTAAATAAACCTGTTCCACTCCTATAATGCTAATTCTCTGTTTTGGGAAGAGAATATGTGTGAATAAACCCTTACCCTGAGACAGAAAAATTATTGGCTTAATTCACTGAAAAATTACTGTCGTCTTCACCAAGTACACATTTAAGTTAGTTTGGAAACTGTTGACTGGTTTTTGGTAAAAAGCTGTGTGCTATAGTATGCTACATGACAGGAGTAGAAATGTCACTGCTTACTTTAGGGCAGCTCAAATATTTGCTTTTAATTTTATCAATTTAATTTCAGACAGTTTGGAGATTCTTTGCAATTTTTCTTTAAAGACAATGTTTAATATGACCTATCAGTATGTCAACTTTTAGGAGAAAACCTTTGGCTTTGTAATATATCAGACTGCTTCCACATGATGTAAGCTAGTCTCCCCCCCACCCCCTCAGCCTTATTCACAGGTGATAATAAATAATCCAGTGCAGCAGTCCTTTCCTCTACTTGTAATTCATTCATTCAGCAAACCTTTAACGTAGTACCTGCTTTGTACTGAGTTCTCTATTAGGATCTGGAAGAGGTATAAAACTTAGCTTAAAGACTGAGTGAGTGATACATTCCATCCAACTTACATTCTAAAATGCCTGCTACATGTCAGACATTGTGCTAAACTGTAGGACAGGCGTTCTTAACCTGGCATCTATGAACTAGTTTAAAAAAATATTTTGGTGACTATATTTCAGTTGCAATTGTTTTCCTTTGTAATTGCATGTATTTTGTACATTTAGAAACATCTTGAGAAGAGGTCCAGAAAAAAGGTAAAGGATCTGTGCTCTAGAGTAAAAGATGAAATAGGCCTCAACCTGAAAGAGCTTTTGTTTTACTGGAAAAACAAAAGCATACATATAGAAAAGCAGGGAGAAAATAGAACAGTAATTTGGTGGAGAAGAGAATACTAACAACTGGAAGAATCTGAAAGTGCCTCATAGAGGAGGTGACACTTGACCTGAGCCTGGAAAGGAGCTTGAGATTTGAAGAAGCAGCTCTAAGGCCAGAGACTATCCAGGTGTGGATAGCCTGTGCAAAGGCATCGGGGTGAGACATACGCAGTTTATTGTAATATGTGATTTTGCAAATAATATGAAAAGTTAAAGAGATAGCAAAATAAAATGCTATGTCACATCTGAGCAACAGGGTTATTAGTAACAGGGAATCAGGGAAGTATTCATGGAGGCATAATGTAGTCAAAAGACTTTCAGTTGTGGAATTAAAGGATCCATATTTAATCCTTACTCCTTTACTTATTAGCTGTGTGACCTTGGACAGATCATTTAACCTTTCTCATCTGTGAGATAAAGGGGTTGGACCACATGGTCTTGAAAGTCTCTTTCAGCCCCAAATCTATGATCTATATATTAAGAGTAAAAAATGAAAAATATAGCTTTCACCAATAATCATGAAATAAAAAAGGACCTAGAAGTCCTCTAGTTTGTTGAGTAGAACTTGTGGGATTTACGGAAAGATGGGGACAAGAATGGCACAGATATAGAAGACGTGGATGATCTATGACCTGCAATTATTAAAGGAGTGCCCACACTGATGGGATCACCAATCCATAAATATTTTCACCACGTATATAGAGTGTATATAGAGCACTTTACTCACAATCCTGTGAGATAGCTAAGATAAGTTGTTTGGTAGATTTATGACTGTTAGTGTTAAAAATGGGTTTATTGCCCTAAAAATTTATTGCTTGCTTATAGTAGACAACTTAGTTGATAATAGATATACTTTTTTAAATGTATGTAATTTTTAGTATTATAATATGAGCACATTAATAAATATTTGTATATTCATTGTATATGTTCAAAAACTTTTTATTTGAAAGGAGTGCCTGATCAGAAAAGTTTAGAGCTCTCAGCACTAGACTTCTAAGATTCATTAGAGCAAAAACCTTGGTGTTAATGTCTGAATATTGTATCTCCAGCACAACATACAACATACAGGTTCGACATACTGTTACTTGGCAATATACATAGTGCTTTGTATTCAGTAGGCACTTAATAAATGTATGTTGAATCGAATCTGATGTGAGTTCCCTAAACTTCCTTCCTGTATGCTTCAAGTCCTTATGAGTATCAGATATTGCAGCATAATGGAATAACTTATGATTCAGTCATCATTATAGTTAAATTATTTATTAGATAATCAAACATTTATTGGATACCAATTTTGTGCAAAATCACTATGTAAAGATGGCAAGGAAAAGTGTAAAACATTTTTGAAAGATTTCCATGGACCATAGTGAAAATAAAGAAAAAAACTTGGTGCTTAAAGCAGCAAATGGCAAACCCTACCTGGAAAAATTAGTTATGTAAAATCATTTTTGCTTATATGTCTTAGAAATGAGACCTTTATCAGAGAAACAGCCTGTAAAGTTTCATTTTTTCCCCCTAGTTAAATAGTCCCCTTTTAATCTTGGCAGCATTGCAAAAGTTTGTGCAAAATCTTTTAAATTTTGTGTGATTACAATTTATCCTCTGTGATTTTCTTATCCCTTATTTGATCATGAACTCTTGTCCTCTCCATAGATCTGGAAAGGTTATTTCTTCCTTGTTTCTCTAATTTGTTTATGATGTGACCTTTTTATATCTAGGTCATTTATCCATTTGGAGTTTATTTTGTGGTATATAGTATGAAGTATAATTTTAACTTAAGAATGAACAAATATGATTTCTGAGAGTTATGTAGTTTAAAACTTGGTAGAAAAGTGATGAAAAGCAGTGAAAGTTGGCCAAGAGTAGGTCAGTAAACTTTGGGGAGAAAATAAGTGTTATCTTTAGATATTAAATAATATATCTTCAAAATAAGTTTAAAATTAATTTTTAAATGACTAAGTGAATTATCTACCTACACATTTTTATGTTAGTAACTCTTCGTAAAGTGTCCCAGCTACCTCTATGTGTTCCACTAACCAAAGCTTAGTTTATTTGCTCAAATTTTCAAAAGAATCAGAATGAAATGTTGATGAAAAATCTGTTACTGCTGGAAGAGTTGAAGAAATAATTAATGTTCACATAGCAACCCAAACTATGTCCCTGGAGATGAAGGTGTTAGTAATACAAAATCTGTTCAGTTTAAAAGGAATTTACTGAAACTGTCAAATACTTGTTAAAAATCTACTTAGTTTTGAGCTATCTTTTTCTCATTAGTGCTTCCTTTCAATTGTGACAAATTCTTATGGCGGTTTCCAAATTTTGTATAGCGATGTATCCTTTTAAAAACAAAAACTTTTTTAGCATTATTTTAATTCAAATAACACTAGGATTTTATTAGTTTTTATAACAGAACATTAAAACAGAATAAAAACAATTTACATAAAATTTTATTGATAAAATCCTTTATAGTTTTCTCATTTATCGTTTCTGTAAATTACCATAATAAAAATATTGGTGTCATAGAGTTGTTTTTCTGTAAAACATTTCCCAAAATCTGGTTTCTTTGATGACTACTTGTAATTACTACTAATACTTTTTTTTAACCTTTTTTTGGTGAGGCAATTGAGGTTAAGTGACTTGCCCAGGGTCACACAGCTAGATTTGTATTCAACCACAAATTGAGACTAGTAATTTGTCTTTGTAATAGCTAAAGAAGAAGGAAAACCTTATGTATACAAATAAATGTTATGAAGAAATAGCGAAATTATTTTTGCTTTTACTAGAAGGCAAAACATAAAATGATTTTTGGGTTCAAGTACTTGTTACAACATCCTATCACTTGGCAAACCTTTGAACTATAGTTGTTCAGAGAACGTAAGGACAGATGTATTAAATTTGTCAGTGGCATATGTTTTTCTTATCTGTTCACATTTGTAAATACCCAGCTCTTTTTTTTTTAAAAACGACAGTCGTTTGTAAGGACCAGTGAAATGATTAAAAACAGATCTTTACTTGTATTTATTTGCAGGGGAGTTATTTTTCTAATTTAGGAAAGATGAAATACTCCATTGTAAATTTATTTCTATAATTCTTAGTTTTTCCAAAAATAACACTAGATACAAGTTTCAGAAGGAAATTTATGTGATAAAAGAATTTTGTTTAAATTTTCAAAAAAGATTGCTCCCACAATGGCAGTTTCCATTATTTCAAACATCTTTTTTAATACTTTGTCAAGAGAAACCAGTGTCTTTTTACAGTAATAGAATTGCCCAATGATCTATCTCCTCTATCCCATATCATTACATGATTATGCAAAAAGCTTTCATTTTAATGGACTTTTTATATAGTTGAATAGTTTAACATTTTGGAAAACAGTTGTTCATACAAATGATTGTCTATGAAATAATATACAGGGTGTACAAATTTGATGAGTCCAATATACTTCTATTATATTTACATTTTTAAAATTTACCAGTTTTGTAGACTTTTTCATTTTATGTGACATTGTTGTTAATAATTTTGGAAAGCACCCAAGGTTCCCAAGCATTAATTTTGATAATATATATGTATACACACACACTCTCTCAATAATTATCTTTAACTCCGATCTGTTGCTTCCATCTAATTCTTGTGTAAAATTGTAAGATTTTATTTTTTTAGGTAATTGATAACAAAGATCTTCAGACATTTGCACAGTTCTCCTTCCTACCATATTATCTACATATGGAACCATGCAAAGCTGTTTTGCTATATGATTTGAAAAACATCCTTTAGTTCATTATCAGTAACTTCAAGTGACACCAGTTTTTCTATTGAATAAAGCTTTTTGTCATATTACACAATTTGTAGTCTGATACAGGCAATGGTTTTGGAAAAAGTTTGCTTTTGCAAAAATAAATCTAATTTTCTTTCATATTCTCCAGTTGCCAATGTATTTTGTGTGTAACCAATTAAGATTGCATTTCAATTTATTAGGTTTCATGCTATCTGCACCTAAAACATTCATACAAAGTAAACAACAGTCTTTTCAGTAATAGTACTTATTATTACCAATGATAAACCTAATGGACTTATATTTTGTGGACATGAGCTTTTTATTTTGTGTTTCTCTAGTTTTCAGTATTTAAATTGAGTCTCTTGTCTTTGCTTGCACTAGCTTTAGCGTCTTAGTATTTTTTTTTCCTTTCAGACTCATTATGTGTTCATGACAAAAAAAATTTCATTTTTCAAAAACTGAAGAGCACTAAAAATTTGACAGTTCAGTTTATTAAAATCATTATCAGTAATTATTTCTTTAAATTTAGGTGTTGGCATTTTCAGATGATTATAACCATTCTTAAATTGTTACAGTTATTTTTTTTTTAAAACTGACTTATTTATTATATATAACTTAACAAAATGAATGAGAATTTGATACCTTATTTGCACCCTTCCTCCTTTCTTCCTCCCTCCACCTCCACTCAGCAAGGGGCTGTGCCACCCCCTCCTCCCTAGGGGGCAACATTCAACAGTTTGGAAAACTACTCTACTAGAAAATAAAGTGGAGAGTTTTGAAATAAAGATTGAGAACTAGTCTGAGAAGTACTTCTGAAGAAGACTAGGCATTTGCAAAGCAAAATAAAATTCCATTTCATTTAATTATCAAAGGAAAAGAGAACCAGTAGAGTGGTGTAGATTATACAGACACTTGCAACCTGAAAGGAACACTGAGGGGTAACTATAAATGTTTCCTTAATGAGGGATGGACAAGGAATCTAACTCTTTCTTTAACATATGGCTTTAGTGTTAAAGTACTTACTGTTGGTTTTCCAGTGTTAATTATGGGTCAAAAAACATGAGTGGATTTGTAGCCAAAAACTCAGCCAATAACATGTAAATATAGGGTTTTCCAGGGTCATTATGCTATTTGACAATAGTCATAGATTAGTGTGGTACAGTAAAGTGATCACTAGATTAGGAATCAAGAGAGGTAGGTTCTAATCTTGGCTCGGGCATTAAATATGGATCTTCAGTCTCTTTCATTAGTAATTTTTAAATTGTGTAAAAGTATCTGGAAACCAAAAAGTTGGGAGATCTGCTGCCCTAAATGATCTCTAAAGGTCTTTACAAGTCTTAGAAAAGTAGTCTCCAGTTATAAATTTTTTGGAATGGAAAGATAACAATAGACATTCATATATAGCACTTTAAGCTTTGCAAAATAGTTTATGTACTTATCTTGTTTAAACCTCACAGCATCATCTTTATAACCTAGTTTCCAGGAACTTTTTGTAGGGAATTGTAGCAGGGGCTGCTTAGAGTTACTATACCTCCAAATATTTTTTATTCTGTCCTTTTGTTTTTGAAGGTAATATTTGTCGCTCACCTATAGCAGAAGCAGTTTTTAGGAAACTGGTAGCTGATCAAAATATTTCAGATAAGGTAAGTTTGCGACTAGTACTTTTCAGTATCTTGCATTGGTCGTCCCATACAATACCTCTTTTGGGGGAGGAATATGTCAAATGTTCTTTTGTTTTTGTTTTTGTTTCTCCCCTGTAGTGGAGGATAGACAGTGCAGCAACATCTGCATATGAAATAGGAAACTCCCCTGATTATCGAGGGCAGACTTGCATGAAGAAACATGGCATTACCATGAATCATATTGCCAGGCAGGTACTGTACCTTAACTTTGTTCAAAATGCATATGCATGTGTTTTGTGTTACAGTGGATCACTGACAGTGGTGCTGTCTCTGACTGGAATGTGGGGCGATCCCCAGATGCAAGAGCTATAAACTGCCTAAGAAATCATGGCATTAATACAACTCATAAAGCAAGACAGGTAGAAAAGATCTTGTTTAATTTTCAATGTGTGGCTTGCTCTCTATTTGCAGATATTGCATAATGTTCATTGAAAGTCATACATTATTTAAGGGTCATTTAACTTTTAATAAAGCTAACCATAGACTGAATATAGCTATTGTGATAATTACATGATCTGGTTATTTGTTTACAACGATATGTAATGCAGAAATTGCATAAATATTAGGTATACCATAAGTTATATATTATTAGTATTTTAGAACTCTGTCTTCACTTCCTGTTCCTAAGTTCAGAGATGATTGTGGAGAATTCTTTAGTTAAATGGAAACCAGGATCAAGCCTATACTTATCAATGTTTGAGGAGTCATTCTTTAAATTTTCATTGTATATAAAGTTTTTGTTATGGGGCTGTACATAATTTGATAGTAGAATATTTACTCTTGGCTACACATCTGTACACGTATTCCTTCATTCCTTCGTTAGAAATCTTACCATCTATGAGACAGAAGATCTTGAGCTATTTCTTCCTAAAGCTCTGTTTGTTTTCACTGTTCTTTTCTGTCTTTTGATAATATCTGGAAGAAGCAGTTGGGTGTTAATTTTGTCTGCCTTATTATTGTCTCTAACTTAGGAGGGCTTTTAATATTCGTTTTGACAAGGGGTACAAGGTATGCAGATTGGTTGTCAGTCAGTGAGAAGTTAGAACAGGGATGGGAAACCTGTGGCCTTGAAGCCACATGTGGCCCTCTAGGTAGGTCCTCAAGTGTGGCCCTTTGACTGAATCCAAACTTCACAGATCCCCTTAATAAAAAGATTTCTTCTGTAGAACTTGGACTCAGTCAGAAGGCCACCCCTGAGGACCTACCTAGAGGCCACAAGTTCCCTACCCTAGGATTAGAACATAGTTGGACCTGGGAGTGTGGCAGTGCTAGGTGACCTGGAGACAGCTGAACTCTTTATAACTTTTTTTTTGCAATTGGGGTTAAGTGACTTGCCCAGGGTCACACAGCTAGTAAGTGTCAAGTGTTTGGTCTGAGGCCGGGTTTGAACTCAGGTGCTCCTGACTTCAGGGCTGGTACTCTATCCACCGCGCCACCTAGCTGCCTCCACCTTTATAACTTTTGAGGGCCTAAAAAGTGTGTTGGAAATTAAATCTGCAGAACTTCATTTAATAAGAGTTTAACTAGCTTTCCACTGTATGATATTTGTTGGGAATCACACCTTACGTTTATTCAATATGTATTCAGTGTCTGCTTTATAGTGATTTTTTTTTTTCAGCCAAAGACAAGGTTTATTAAAGATCTGCCATGTTGGCCAGAGTCTTTAGGAATGTGAATATTTGTGAGCTATTGGCTAGGTTCTTGAGGAATTTGAGTCCTTATAGTGAATTCTACAAGGTTTCTACAAGGCTGGTTTAAAATTGTAATTTGGTGATGATGGTTTCAGAAACCAGTTATTACTCCTGTTATATTTGCATATGTAATGATGTTTTAGAATATCTGGATAAGCATCCCTTGGGGTTGGAAAACAGCTTGCTTTTTTTTTTTTTTTGAGTAAAACATGACCTTTGTTAGCAGTTTGTTCTAAAAAATTAAGTTTGTTTTTGAATTAAATTTATAGTTTCCATATAGTCTGTATTTAACTGCACTTTTAAGTATGGAAAATATGTTAAACACTTTTGTTTAGTTCAGATCATCCGATCATTTTACTTTCTCTTCTAATATTTGTTTGGTGTTACAGTTTGAAGCAGAGCCCTTACCTTTTTTTTGTGTCATGGAACCTTTTGATAGTCTGGTGGTGTCAAGGACCGTTTTCTCAGAGTAACATTTTTGAATCCATAGGAATACAAATGAAAGCAATTATACTGAACTAAACTTCTCTCTCTCTACACACACACACATACACACACACACACACACACGTTCAAAGATTCTAGATTAAGAAGCATTGTCTGAAAACAATTAAAGTAGCTTTTTTTGTTTCAACTTTCAAGCTGTGTATTTGATACAAACTGGGCCTTAGAAATGAGTATGTCAGATAATTAAGGTGATATCTAGACAGCATGAATTAGGTAGTAGAAATTTTAATAATATCCAGCATACTTAACAGAAAAACTTTTATTGAACCCAGTTTTACTTCAAATATCTTTACTTAAATTCCTCCTTAGCAAAATAGAGTATGACAAATCAATCAATTAATCAACATTTATTCAGCACCTATTATGTGTCAGTCACTGTGCTAAGTGTTCTAGTGAGTCATTGTGAAATTATCTACACCACTGAAAGGAAAGAAGGATTGGTTTAGACCAGAGAATCAAACTGTCTAGGTAGTAAAATACATGCTTGTTCATTAGGGAAAAAAAAATACTACTGCAAAGGCTAGAGATAAAGATTTGTCTGAGTTGCTAAACAAAAGAAGTACTAGACTTCTCACAGGATTCTTCATCATTGCACATCTAGTACCACTGTGGTTGTAGGAAATTCTCCCTGTGGAGGAGTGCTCCTATTATCCTGACATCTTTCTGCTAGCACCTCATGCCCTGTGGGATATTTTTATGCTTCTTTTGATTTTCATGTTTTCTAGATTATAGGAAGTGGCAGCCATTTGTCCATAAAGCAATTTATAAATGAAAAAAATTTTAAATGGTTAGCAAATTCCACTTAGAAATGTGGGAAGTATTTATAACTTATAAATAATAATTACCTTCAATTATCAGATTTTCTTAATAACTCCTTTTTTATAAATACATTAAATACTTTACTTTGTGCTTTTAAAATGAGTATTATCTGCTTTTTAAATAAAATACAGTTGCTAGAGATATGAGTCAGGAAATTCACAACATAAAATTGCCATAGAAACCTTCTGTTACTTTAAAGATATAAATTAGCAATCTACAATATTAGAGTGAGCTAAATTTCAGCTCTGTGAATATGATCATTATCAGATTATTTAATATTGAAATAATGATTTTTTTTTGCACTAAATACATTTAATAGTTCTTAATTTCTGGCTTCTGCTTATTATAGTTTAGTTCAGGGGTGGGGTACCTGTGGCCTTGAGGCCTCAGGTTCCCCACTCCTGGTCTAGTCTATGTATTAATTATTGTTTAGAGGAAATATCTAAAAGACTTAAACCATTGGAAGTTTGCATTAGGTAAGAGATAAAGTATTTTTGAAGCTTTCATCCTTTCTGATTCCTTTCACTTTTTTCATATATAATATTCTTTTTCTTTTATTTGTATACTTTTGTATTTGTATTTATATTCTTTAATTTGTAATTTTTTTTAATAGGGTGCCTAACTGACCTTTATGGCTTTGTCAACAAGCCCAAAGTCTTTTTTTTCCCTTAATAGTGGTTTTTTTTTTCCAATTACATGTAAAGATAGAGTTTCAAATTTTTCTTCCCTCTCTCCTCTCCCCCCTCCCCAAGACATCAAACAATCTGATATAGATTATACATATGTAGTCATTAAATGTATTTTCACATTAGTCATGTTGTGAAAGAAGAATCAGTACAAAAGGGAAAAACGTTGAGAAAGAAAAACAAAAGAAAGTGAAAGTAGTGTTCAAATCTGCATTCAGCTTCCATGGTTCTTTCTCTGGATGTGGTTATCACGCGTCTTCTGGATTTGTCTTGGATCATTGTGTTGCTGAGAAGAGCTAGGTCTGTTGTAGGTAATCATTGTACAATATTGCTTTTGCTGTGTACAATGTTCTCTGGTTCTGCTCACTTCACTCAGCATTGGTTCATGTGAGTTTTTCAAGGTTTTTCTGAAGTCTGCCTGCTCATCCTTTCTTATAGCACAGTAGTATTCCATTACATTCATGTACCACAACTTGTTCAGCTATTTCCCAAATGATGGGCACCCTCTCAATTTCTAATTCTTTGTGATGAGGATAATTTTAAGGCTACTTCTCACACTTGAATTTTGATGAAAATGGGTTTTTTTTTTTTCAGAAGAATTTTTAAAAAAAATATATATGTAATTTTATTTTTTACAAATTCATTTTTTACAAATTATTATTTAACTATTTTTGCTCTTTTTAAATTTTAAATTCCAAATTCTTTCCCTTCCTCCTATTCTTCCCCATCCACTAAGAAGGCAAGCAAATGATAGTTATACATGTGAAATCATGAAAAGAACATTTCCTCATTAGTAATATCACCCCCCCAAAAAAAGGCAAGAAAATTATACTTCAGTTTACACTCAGAGTTCATCAGTTTTCTCTCTGGAAGTGGATAGTATTTTTTCATCATGAGTTCTTTGTTTTGCATCACTATATTGATTGGAGTAGCCAAGTCTTTCACAGATAGTCATCATTACAACATTGCTTTTACTATGTACAATGATCTCCTGGTTCTGCTAACTTTGCATCACTTCACGTAGGTCTTCCCATGTTTTTTTTCTTTTTCTGAAACCACCCCCCTCATCATTCCTTAGAGCACAGTATACTCCATTACAATCATATGCCACATCTTGTAGAGCCATTCCTCAATTGGTGAGCTTAATTTCCAAATCTTTGTCAATTCAGAAAAGCTGCTATAAACATTTTTGTACATACAGGCACTTTTCTTTTTCTTTGCTCTCTTTGGGTAGTAGTATTAGTGGGTCAAAGGGTATGCATAGTTTTATAGTCCTTTGACATAGTTCCAAATTGTTTTCTAGAATATTTGGACCAGTTCACTCCACCAACATTTTATGAGTGTACCTATTTTCCTGTATTCCCTCCAGCATTTGTCAGTTCTGTTGGGTACGAGGTGGTAACTCAGAGTTGTTTCATTGTGCATTTCTCTAATCAGTAGTTATTTATAGTATTTTTTTTCAAATGATGATAGATAGATTTGATTTCTT